TCTATTGACTCGATTATAGATTTGATTATAGACTAGTCTTCAGAATGGTCGGTAGACCCGACTATGGTGTATAATAAACTTAACTATAGACTGATCGTTGGACACAACAATAGACTGGTCTGTATATTGGACTATAGAGAGTTTCCTCGAAAATTTACTGATCTAGAAACAATATAGGCTGGTCTATAGAAACTACAACAGACTGTTCTGTGGGCACTTCAATAGACATATGTGAGAACTGGACTATAGACTCTACTGTAGGCAGGACTGGATTCAAGACTATATTATAGGCTAGTCTATAGAACCGATTATAGAGTAGTGTATGGATTCGATTATAAACTAGTCTATAAACTCGAATATAGACTAACCCATAGACTCGAATAAAGAGTGACCTAAAAACTCGACTACAGACTGGTGTATAAACTTAACTATAGACTAATCTTTGGATACCACAATAGACTGGTCTATAGATTAGTATACTAACTTCTATATAGCCTCGAGCATAGACTCGACTATAGACTAGTCTATAATCGAGACTATAAAGTCGATTATAGGCTCGACTACAGACTAGTTTATAGACATGATTATAGACTGGTATATAATGTCAATTATACACTATAGACTAATCTACAGACTGGTTTAAAGTCTCGACAATATTGGCTTGGTCTATAGGGACGACAATAGATTTATAGACACGACAATAGACTTACTTAAATACTAGACTATAGACTATCTTCAGACTCGACTATAGAGTGGTTGGTAGACCCGACTATATACTGGTGTATAAATTAACTATAGACTGCTCTTTGGACACGACAATAGACAGGACTGTATATTGGACTATGGACTCAAGCATTTGTCTATAGACACAACTATGGACTGGTCTATAGACTTAAATATAGACTGATCTATAGACACGACTACAGACTGGCCTACAAACTATATATTAGTCTGTGGACCGATTGTTGTGTCTATAGATGTGACTGTATACAGGTCTACAGATTCGACTATAAATTTATTTACAGACTTGCCTATGGATTGGTTAATAGACTCGAAAATAGACTAATCTATGACTCAACTATGCACTGGCAAGTAGAAGATAAAAAGACTCAACAACCTGGATACCCTATGGCATAGAATTTGTTAAAGTAAGGTACAAATTTTGTCACGTATGGTATTTCTTTTAAATGCTTGACATTGTAGTATTATCAAGTATATTAATATTTAAACATTTCAGTCCATTATTTTATTACATTATCGGTAATTGTTAATTTTAATAAAATAACATGAAATACGTATTATATTATCTCGATATTAAAACATACACAATTCAAGTCTCTCTTACCAATTCCAACATTAACCAGAACACATCAAGGATATTCATAAACATACCTGAAAGGATATTGAGAAAATATAAATTTTTATTATTATAGATGAATAAAATGGTTAAATTATCGTTAAATAAATGTATATTCTATATATATACAATATATATAAGAATAAAGAAATTGCAAAAACAACAAATATGGTATTTATTTGTTTTTATTTATGTATGTTTACATATTCATATGAAGTTGAAACAAACATTTATCTGCCCGGGACAATGTCAAAACTTAAAGATACTGATGTGATGGTTCTTATTAGCTGGAGGACAAATGCAGTTTTAAATGATTTTAATAATAAATATGATTTTAACAAAATTAATACTTATAAATGAGTAATTGAACAGATACATGTGATTATTTATATTAATTTGCTGGAAAATATTAAATGACATCTTTAAAAAATGTTCCTTCCTTTAAAGAACTTCCTTTAAAGAAGCTGCTTTTAATTTCCTCTTTACAATTTAAAAATTCTATATTAATTTAAACAATTTAAATGCGATGTAAATTTCCATAACTAACAAAATTTTGTTTGTAATTTAAACTCATTTTATCCGTTTACAGTATTTAAATTAATTCGACCACAATTCATCCATACAAACGAGTTAACAACAAAATATTTAATAATAAATGTTTAAAAACAAAATTTTTTTTTGTGTAAATAAAATTAACACAAATTAACCGCAGTCAACACAAATAGACCACAAATTGTAACTTTAATAGGATGAACAATAACAAGTAAAAAGGTATAGTGGAATATGGCCTATCACGTGATATCCAATACCAGTGATATTTGTAGATAGGTAGTAGGTTCAGTTATATTAAACTGGACAATAAATAGTTAAGCGAGAGTCCACAGTATACTTTTCTAAAGGATTAAGCTGCATTGAATCTGAATTTATAGTTATTTCAAACTTTGGATTAAGATATCTCATTGAAGGAATGGCAGGAGTTAAAGCTTTATTTTAAGGCTAATATATAGGACTTTCAGACGATGTAACACCCATAATCAAACATGTAAGAGTTCTATATGCGGCTCTGTTTATTGCTAGTTCAACTATTTTGCCAAAAGCTCATATGAAAATTCTAGCGCAATACTTTCCTAGATATACGAATTTTGATTTTTAATTCATATAGCAGGTGCCACGCCCCCTATTTGTAATCCTCCCATTTATTACCCAAATGTTCACATGGATGACAAATTTGTTTGTGCAAAATTTGAGGATTCTAGCTGTAATAATTTCTCAGATATACGAATTTTTGTGGTTAATTCAAATGAGGAGTGCCACTCCCCTTTTTGCTAGTTCGCCAATTTATTAACCAAATGTTAGCATGGATGACAAAGTTGTTCGTGCAAAATATGAGGATTCTAGCTCCAATGACTTCCCACATAAATACATATATTAGAATTTTTGTATTTAATTCATACGAGAGGTGCCACGCCCCCAATTTGTAATCCTTCCATTTATTACCCAAATGTTAACATGGACGACAAAGTTGTTTGTGCAAAATTTATTCACATTTTTGTATTTATTTCATATATGAGGTGCCACGCCCCTATTTCTTGTCCTCTTATATTTCCTTCAAAATGTATATATGGATTTCAATGTTGCCCATACAAACTTTAAGAATTCTAACTCTAATACTTTCCCAAATATACGAAATTTTTTATTTTCTTTATATGGGAGTTGTCACGCCCCTGTATCTAATCCGACGTGGTACTACTCCCACTTGCAATTGCAAAGAAAAAACTAGCCTATTGTTCTTTCCAGATAGAGAGGGACATGCATTGCAAATTTCAAGATCGCTCCAGTTAACAAACATACGTTGATTTTTATATATATAGATTCTGGGTCCTTATTAGATTTTAGTTGTCCATGTACATCCGTCTGAAAACTGATCGAATTATAGGGAGCAGCCAGAGGGTTAAAATTAATCTATATGATTAAAAATTCGGCAAAATTAAAAGAAATTAATTAATACTCTTAAAGGCCCTTTTCGGAAATTCTACTTGAATTTTAAATTAATGTTGATATGGAGCAATCTTTTGTTGATTGGATTAGTAGAACTAGTCTTAAATCTGAAATTAAATTTTAGAAGAAAGCTTTATAAGTTTCTTGATTCTGGACCAATTCTTAAAAAAATTCCACAGCCCGTTGAAAATATGATAGGTTCGGTTCATAATCGTTTCAAAACCCCATAAAAATCTTTTTTCCAAAAGTTTCGCTGATGCTTATATTACAAAAAAATCCGCAAAATTATTTTTTTTTTTAGAAATTAATAAGTCCACTAAAAGGCCCTTCTCCGATAGTCTTCTCGATATTTATATTAATATTGATATGGGGCAATATTTCGATGATTGGATTAGTCGAACTAGTCTTAAGTTTGAAATTGAATTTTAGAAGAAAAATCTTTATAAGCTGTCTAGATTCTCAACAAATTCTTAAAAATTGTTCAACAGCCTGTTGAAGGATAGGGCCTTACGGAGGAAATTCTTTAGAGTTCGTTTCATAATTGGTTCAAACCACCAATATTGATATGTAAACAATGTTTTGATGATTGGATTAGTAGAACTAAATTTTAGAAGAAAGAGTTATATGAGGTCTAGATTCCTTAATTTACCGATTTGTAAAGAATTTGGTAGCATTAGTTTTTATTTAACTTTTTTTACATCGTATTTTACTGCAATCTATTTATTGTCATTTAGTTATATCATCAGTATGTGTGTTGAATGGATAAGATCGGTCCACATTTAACCCTCGAGTTCAAATAAAGAACCCTATAGAAAATGTTCATATTATTTAAAGTACAGTTTCCATTCCTGATATAAATATGTACTATGATTTTATCCAAAAGAATTTATATCTTATAACTCAATCAAAATGATCTAATTTCTGGAAAGAAATATCTATCATGATATAATTTTGTATATTTTTTTAAAAATAGATACAAACAAATACAATTAACCTAAAACTAGTAACACAGATACAGATGGCGTTGCTGGCGTTGTTATTAGTGGTGGTCTCTAACCAAAATTGGGAAAATCGCACTAAAATAAACAAGGTCGTCGACAACGACGACGACTACAGATGTTGGAGAGGTAGAGAGAAAGAAAAATCATTAAACGTCATCAATATGTGTAAAATATCTAAAACGAAATATTTATAAAAACAACATGAGTCATGGACAAATCTTTTTTCATATGTTCTCACACTTTAACTAAAAAATAAATAAAACTGAGATATAATTTAATTATCGAAAATTTGAGAGAGAGAGAGAGAGAGAGAGAGAGAGAGAAAGAGTAAAACGCAACTAACAGATACTTTCATTGTTTATTTACACACACCTAAAAATTTTGATAGACTTAATAATTTAGCCTCCACTGTTGTGTGGTGTTTACAGCAAAAAGATCAGGTTTAGACAGAGAAGGCTATAGCAGACTTTTAATTTACTTGCTATTTAGCTACTATAAGTATAAACGAGAGATGTAGAGGGGCAACAAGCTAAGAGTGAACGATACAAGTGTATTTGGGAAAAAATTTAAAAAGTATCTATGAGTTTTTTTTTATTATGTGTGGGAATTTTTTCTTTGTGTGTTGCTTTCAACATTACTCAAGCGCTTACTTAGTTAATGCAGTGATTTCAAAGTGTTTGGGTGTGTTTGCCATTAATTTAAATTGAAAAACAGAAAAATTAAAAGAATCTAACCAACGCATTTGAGTATCTAATAGATACCACCACGAAGTTCATTATTTATAACTGGAATACAAAGAACATTCATAAACTAATAAGAAAAACGTCAAACGAATTGGATTTTTTAAAGAAACTATTATCAAAATTATTAAGAAATAACAACAACAACTTAATAAAATTATAAAATTTTTAATAAACAAATATATATTGCAAAAAAACAACGATTGTGTAATCGAAACGCAGCTGGATTTTCATAGAAATTTCTGCATAAATTAAATTAATATTTAATAAAAAAAAATATACAAAACTTTTTTTTAACAAAAACAACACAATACAAAACTTTAAACAATGCAAGCAATTAAATGTGTAGTAGTGGGTGACGGTGCTGTGGGTAAGACCTGTCTCTTGATCAGTTACACCACTAACGCCTTTCCCGGTGAATACATACCCACCGTATTCGACAACTATTCGGCCAATGTTATGGTCGATGCCAAACCCATTAATTTGGGTCTTTGGGATACAGCCGGTCAAGAGGATTACGATCGTCTACGCCCTCTCTCCTATCCCCAAACCGATGTTTTTCTCATCTGTTTCTCTTTGGTGAATCCAGCCTCATTTGAGAATGTACGCGCCAAATGGTATCCCGAGGTACGTCATCATTGCCCTCAGGTACCCATTATTTTAGTGGGCACTAAATTGGATTTACGTGATGACAAGGCCACCATTGAAAAACTCAAGGAAAAGAAACTCACACCCATTACTTATCCCCAGGGTTTGGCTATGGCCAAGGAAATTGGTGCCGTTAAATATTTGGAATGTTCCGCTTTAACACAAAAAGGTTTAAAAACAGTATTCGATGAAGCTATTCGTTCGGTTCTATGTCCCGTCATGCGCATGCCCAAAAGACGTAAATGCATGATATTGTAAAAAGCATTTAAAGGAGCAACCGCAAACCCCATACAGTTGACTCTATTATAGAGCAGGAACTCTAGAGAATCTATTAAGATCAATTTAAGAAGTTTTTTTTATAAAGAATTTATCACACAACGACTATAACAAACCTCCAAGGGAGGAAATTTATTCATAAAATGAAAACAATTTTTAAACCGATAAGAACAAAAACTATAAGTCGTTAACATTTAATCAAGCACAGAAACTAATATTAAACAAAAGAAATTAAAGTTTTCCATTTTATAAACAAAAAAAGAAAATTATTAAACTACATTATAGTGATGATGACAATCTGTTAAACTATATATATAAATTATTATTTAATTATTTTTTTTTTATTTTTTCTTTTAAGGGTTTTAAAACAATTTAAATTTTCTTTATTATTATTATTTTTTTTTTTTTTTAATATTTTCATTTGTGATCTTTTTTATCTTTATATGTATTTTTTATACGTATGTGTAGTATGTCTGTATGTATTTTTGTATATTATATATATTGTATTTATGTAAAATTTAAGTAGAAAAAAAATAAAAACAAAAAATCATTTAATATTTTTTTTCATTTTATTATTATTTTTGTTTATTTGTCTCAATGTGGGGGCATAAACAGCTACATATAGAACTAAAAAAAAAAAAAACAACAACAACAAAAAGTATGACATAAACTATTGAAAACAAAAAAAAAAATAAAACAAAATTGAATAAATAAATTTAACACTGGAATCAGCTACAAAACTTATGGAGTCTGTTTGTTTGTTAGTGTGTGATGTATCTATGTATATAAATTTTAAATGCATAAGTATGTGTTTTTTTTTTCATATACATATACATATAGAAAAAGATCAATTAAATACTTGACATTCTACGTAATAGTAACAAAACAGGCAAAATTTATATATATTTATATAGCACAATTTATAATTAAATTGAATTACAATGGGACATTTATTCTGTTTAATCATAAATTGATGCAGTTGTACCGGCTTTACGCAAAACTGGAAATGATTTTGTTTAAAAAAAAACAAGTTATGTACAGCTTTAAAGCTTCCAGCTTACTCCCATTATGCTGGCTTTTTACTAATTATGACAAAATTATTCATTAACAAAGCTCCTGACTATAATCGAAACTATAGAATAGACTTTACTTGAAACTATAGCCGAAATTGTAGAATAGACTATAATTATAATGAGACTACACACAACTATAACTAACGTTTCTGACAGTTTAAAATGGACTCTATATCTGAAATTTTACCATAGAATAGTCAATAGTCTTAACTACAGAATAGTCAATAGTTTTGACTCCAGAATAGTCTATAGTCTTTATGATATGAAGATAGTCTTACATATAGAATAGTCTTTAGCCTAGACTATTTGTCTATTGTCTTGACTATAAAATAGTCTATAGTTTTATCTATAGAATAGTCTATAGTATTAACTATAGAATAGTCTTTATTACTGACTGTAGAATAGTCTATAGTCTTGACTACAGAACAGTCTATTGTCCTGACTATAGAATAGTCTATAGTCTTAACTACTACAGAATAGTCTAAAGTCTTGACTATAGAATAGTCTATAGTCTTGACTATAAAACAGTCTATAGTTTTATCTATAGAATAGTCTATTGTCTTGACTATAAAGTAGTCTATAATTTTATCTATAGAATAGTCTATAATATTAACTATAGAATAGTCTTTATCCCCGACTGTAGAATAGTCTATAGTCTTGACTACAGAATTGTCTATTGTCCGACTATAGAATAGTCTATAGTCAAGACTATAGACTATTCTATAGTCAAGACTATAGACTATTCTATAGTCGAGACTATAGACTATTCTATAGTCAACACTTTGTACTATTTTGTAGTTAAGACTATAGACTATTCTATAGTTAAGATTATAGACTATTCTATAGTCAAGACTATCAGTCTATGTTGTGTCCTAATTTACTAGATTCTCTCGTGGGAATCAAACTTACGATCTCCATATTGACAAACTACCAACTAACCTGAGTTACATAAATTATTCAAAAGTCTCTACTCAAGAAGAGGCTAAAGTAAAGAAAGCTGTAGTGTGAGGTTTACTATTTAGTTATTTCACTGTACACATATGGTTCATAGTCCAATTTAGTTTAATAAAATATTTTAAATAAAATGATCAGTACTCTATGCATACATATAAACTAGGTAATGCAAATCGATAATAAAACACACAAACTATAATATCTAACTTATTGAGTTCCGTAACGGAAATTCTTGAAATTTGTATGATAATAAAACTTGGTACAGAAGTACTTGTTACGTTAGCTACAAGATTACAATATCATACAAATGTTTTAAATATGAATATTACTTTTTATAAATAAAGATTTTTATTTTATAATAAGTATCTATTTATTTAGATTAAACCAAGTACTTTTATGAAAAAAATATATTACTAAATGTGGGTAGGCTAGTTTTTTAGAATTAGACTATTTTAAATAAATTAAATAGAAATTTAAAATAGTTTAGAAAGGATTTTACAGAAGTTCTAGGCAAGACTTTAGAGAAGTATAATTAATGTACTTTGTGTAAAGAGTTCTAATCATTGTGTTGTTATTAATAACTTAAAAATCTATTTTAATAGTCTCTATAATTACTCATTTTTATTTGAAATATAAATTTAATAAAGTATATAGATATTGTATTTTTAAATATTAATAATAGAGCCAGCGATTTTTCAAATCTTATCAAATTCAATTAAATTGATAAGTCATCAGAGAAAAATAGAGAGTGTTTCCCCTTTAGTTTGTTATGACAAGTACTATGTAACTAAGTTCGATTATATATTATCGGTGTTATCATTATTTATGGGAAAAAGGCGATTAGAAAAGTAAATAGAAAATTAGACGAGAACAAAGCAGTTTTTAAATAAAATTTTAGTGTCTAGTGTGTGCAATCAAGCAGAACAAACTTAGAGTTAAGTTAACCCAAGGAATTACGAACTTTATAAATAATTTTAAAGGAATAATAATCCAACAACAACATGTTAAAGACATGTACTTACTCAACAACTTACTATTCAATGACTACTGCATATCGTTTGCCTTGTTTAGAAGGAGTCTAATAAGGGCTTACAAATAATTTAGTATGTTAGCACTTACTTTTCAGCCTTCAGACGTTTTGTTCTCGAATTTAAGGTTAGACGTGCTCGTACTTTTATTGAAAATCAAAACTACTTACATAACTACTTATTAGCAAGATATCGTGGTAAGCACTTTCCTAACTCACTACTTGTAAGCAAGCGTGGTATGTACTTGCCTTTAATGTCACCTCCACTTGGTAATGAAAGTGGTAAGCAATTTTCTTACTCACTACTTGTAAGCGAGCGTGGTATGTACTTGCCTGCAATGTGACCTCCACTTGATAATGAAAGTTTTTGCTGGTATACAGTTGATATTAAGAGTAAATTGAACTCTTAGAATAATAATTCAATAGACATTTTGCAAAATTTTCAAGTTAGAAAATTTTATTTAAATTTAGTAATTTTATTAAAATTTATTTTAAATCTTAATAAAAAACAAAAAACTATACATTAATAAAATGGTTATTATTAAACAAATTATACTTTCTACCACCCACAGCACATGTTTGTTCACTTTAATATTCGTTTTTTTTTATATTAATAATATGAACGTGTTTAATGATTTTTTTTACTAGACATTTAACCAAAAAAATTATATGTATGAAGTGAAAATTAGTTTAAAAATATTTAATTTATTTTTTTTTTTATAATCATCTTCCGTTTGCTATTTTTGTAAAGTAAAATAACCATGAAATTTTATGCATTTTTACATGCAACATGAATTTTAGTGTAAAATTTTGTTTTAAGGCATTTTATTTAGTTAAAATTTCAAATAATCAAAAAACATTTTGTAACTGTGGTAATAATAAAAAAAAATAATTGTTTTATTTTTTAAAATACATAAATAATATAAATAAAATTGATTCAAATACTTGAGGTGTAAAAAAAAACAGATAAAATCGTTAGGGTTGGTCAAGGTCGATCAAAGAAAGTGAAATTATGAAATGTAATAAATGAAAAGTTTTGCATGGAAACACAAACGTATGTTTATTGTTAAATCGATTCTAAAAGTTTTACAAATATGTACTATACTTGTGTATATAGAAAAATCCACTCCCATGGTGTCATAAACCTATTAAAAATAACATAATTTATATAAAAATATTTTATTTTTATACCTAAAAAGTGTAATGTACTAAAAATTCGTCATAATACGAACCACTTTCAAGCAGTGACTACAACAACCTCCCAGCAGTTTTAAGTAATTTGTAGCAAATATCTAACATCTTGTTTAACTCAAATCCATATATGTATTTAATAACAAATAATATAATGCATTACCTAAGTGCTTCTATGTAATGTAAAGAGGAAGTTAACTTACACTTTAATGTATCTACAGTCTAATGAGAAGACCCCTTTCAAGCTTATCTACTAAAAAAATAGTTATTAATCCGCTAGAAATCCAACAGAACCATTTATTTAATCCACTAGACTTCCAACAGAAATTATCTATGACATAGTATATTGTCAAGGGTTAGCCACCTCGAACTGCCGGATGATCTCATGAATACAAACACTTCTCTGTGTATTTTAAAATTTTGTTCAAATCACATAAATTATTTACACTAAATTTAGTTATTTGTTAAATTTTATTTATTTTGTTTATTTGGCAATGCAATTGTTGCATGTCTACGTTCAAAAACAATGCCCAGTAGTGATGACAAATGCAAATATCCTCTCACATATTTATTAATACATTTGCAATAGGGTGGTTTCAAAAAATATGACATCCCGTGGGAATTTCCAATGCTCTCATCATTAAAATTTATGGATTTCATTCCTCTAGAGTCCGAACTATGGCATAATGGTGAAATATACTATATTCGAGCCTAGACTATAGTCTAGACTATGGACGAGACTATAGAATAGACTATAATCAAGATTATAGAATAGACCACAGTGGAAGAGAATATGGTCGAACTTACACAGTATACAATAGGCGAGACTATAGAATACATTACAGTCGATACTATAGGATAGACTACAATATATATTATATAATAGAATAGTTGAGATTATAGAATATACTATAGTTCAGGCTAAAGTCCAGGCAACGGTCGCCTACTATAAGATGTT